AAAACTCTTTTTTTTTTTTTTTAAACCGAAACAAAACTCTGCCGCGCTCAGCTGCTCACGAAAAAAAAAAAGAAAAAAAAAAGAAAAGAATTTGAGGCGCGTATGCCTCTCTCTGCGGATGAAGGGTGACAGTCTTGAGACATCATCATTGAGCTCCAGCGGCCTAGCTCAGTTGGTAAGGCATTCAAGTGGCATTCAGGAGGTCTTGGGTTCAATCCCCATTGGCCTCATGTACCTTCCTGGGCAAGCTTGGCGCCCGCCACCTAGAGATATGCCGTTGGGCCCCCCGAGTGGCATTGAGCAGAGACTGCTGATGTTCATAGGGGGAGGGGACCGGAGGGGAGGCACAGTGACTGGCCCATCGAAGAAGCTCTGTCCTGATGCTACCGGCTGACCCCTGGCCGGTATGGCCTACCTGCTGTAGCAGGTATCGCAGCTGCTGGTGGGTGCAGCTCCCACATGTTCCCTCGTTGGAGGCTTGAGCACGGATGTGGCTGCTACGGGGTTCCCCGTAATACTATAATGACAATAAAAAAGGCCTGAAAGGCCGTCCTGTCCAGATTTGGCAGGTAATTGAATTGGTTGGGCTTAAAGAATTAGCCTTTCTATTATAAAAGAAAAAGAAAAAAGAAAAAGAAAAAAAGGAAAAAGAAAAAAAAAATTCAGAAACATTTGGTTCTACTCATCAATCAAGTTCAATCATCTAGGTTCGAACGCGGGTCTGTATTTCAACAGTTGAATGGTGTGCCCACTGAGGGGGCTTTTATTTTTTTTTTCTGAAAACAAACGAGGCTGGGGACCCCACAATTCCACCCGGTTAAAAAAAATAATAATAAATAAATAAATAAAAAATAATAATAAAATAAAAAAAATCCACCCGGTAGTTATCCCGGCAGCATCAGCCGGTTTCGCTTATCTCGCAAGCTTCCTTTTACACTTCTTCTGGGAGCCTTACCCAGTTTCGCTTTTTACAGGACCCAAAGGGGACCTGATGCATCCAACCATTCACAGGCAATCCAATCCATACACCAGAGGAATAAAAAAAACTGCTAACCTAGCAAATGACAATAACCCAACTGAAAAGCAAAAGTAAGCCTATTCAAGGTCCTACTTCATAGACTACCATTCTGTCACACACTGTAATCTATATCAGAGACGACCTGTAAACAGGAACGATGTCTAAACCTGCTAATCTTCTTCTTCTCTTTTAATAACTACTAAAGCAGCTAAGGCAAAAAGCTCTGCTTATAGCACCTGCCCTGTAGACCTCAGTTCAAACATAGTATCCAATCCCATACTCAAACTTGCCTAAATCGGCGCCCACTGTTACCACTAATGAGTTCCCTTCTCCAACCAGCTACAAGAAGCATAGTCGGGTAATGCTCCCGGAGTAGAGTTAGGTAGTAGAAGGGCCAGAGTGTTGAGTAGTTTTTTGACGACTTGTTATGGTCCAGTGTAACTTCAGGACAGACCAGACGAGACGGACCAGTTCCCCTTTTTGTAGAAATAGCATGTCTATTGAAAGGAGCATGGGACACTGGACCCGGTTTCCAGTAAAGCCTCATTGAGGACAGGTGACTTTCCCGGGTTGAAATGTGGAGGGATTCCCGGCCTCCTTTTCCAGTTATATGGAAACTATGCTATTTCAAAAAAAAAAAAAAAAAAAAAAGCTCTGCTTAAGCCAATGAAAATAAGTAAGCTCTGTGGCCTCTCTGCGGCCTATTGAGTGTGTAGTCTTCACTCCCTGATGTCCTGGAGAAGCCAATCTGTGAACTTCAGGTCTCCTTCCGCCGATATTACACCCAAGCCGATGGACTTACCCCACGTCTGGGAGAACAAAAACCGGTTCTTAAGTGTCTGGGCTCAATGTTGCCAGTCTTTTTTTCTTTTTTTTTTTGAAAAAAGACCCTTGCGCAAGGCCTCTATCCTGGTGGTGGTAAGAGAACCACCGGGATTGAGGCTTTGCCTGGCGGGCCGCTCCATCTGTTGGTGGGGAGCCACCTGCTGGAAACCGGGTCCAGCGTCCCCTAAATACATTTTTTACAAAACAGTGCATCATTGGAAGTGACACCATTGTGCTGGAAACCGGGCCCAGCGTCCCATATCCAATCTACTCTTCCATACCTAACCTGCAGCAGGGTCGGGTATTGGGGGGAAAAACACTGGGGGGCAACAGTGGAGTGCTCTAATTGTCTGCCTAATCGTAGACTTCACCGCAGCCACTTGAGCCTGAAAGGTAATTGTCTCTTGTTGGAATTGAGCGGCCTGTTGGCTAAGATCAAGGGTAGCATCTGTTCTGATCAGTTTCATATCTGATCTGTGGTCCATCGGGCCACAACAATGTTAAATCATTTTTGGGGTAACTACGCGCGGGTCACAAAAAAAGTTTGTAAATGCATTCCAAACAGCGTTTGGGGTTATGGGCTGAATGGGTGAGTCGTTAAGTGACTGGAGATATTGACGAACGCGATTGTATGAATGGGGGCATATTTGGACCTGGGCGATGTTTCTTTGAGGATTTGGACCGCCCAGGTGGATGGCACTCGGGCCTGGTACAGTTTGAGTCTTGATATTAGCTTGGGCTTCCTCGGGCCTGGCAGGTCGCCAGAACCGGCCCTCTTTTTCGGCCTGGTACTGACTGGGTTCTGTTTTTGAAAATTGGGTTTGCCTCTCTTGGCTCTGCTCGGGCTTTTTAGAAGCTACTGGCGCGTTTGTTTAGCTTAGATCAGTGGTCGGTGTTAGTGTAGGGTCTGATCGTAGGTCCTATGTATTGGCTCACGGCGTTTTGATCTTCCCTCCGCTGTGACAGTTGAACCCTGACGATTCCGTCTCTGGCGGGCGGATGAAACATGTAGGGTCGCCGCCAGAAGCTCGGACATGTTTGGCACAATTACGGGCATGACGCCCACTTTCGGTTCGAGCTTGTTTTGTACGTTGATTTTTTGAAGCCAGTCGCGTTCGGGAGAAGTCACTCGTCGTGTGCCTTACATGTCGTCTTCGTCTTGTCGTCTTGATTGTCTCGTCGCTCGGGTCGCGTCTCCTTTGACTCTTCCTGATGGTCTGTGTTTTCTTTGCATGACTGCCACTTGACGGTCTCGTGATTCGGAGCTTTATGCTGTCCTGTGTCAGTATCGTGTGTGTGATTCATCACCACTCTTTCAACGTAGTAACCTCCGTAGAGATTGGACTACGGTAGTGTGGCTCGTACCTGACATCGACTTTTGTTCAGTATTCTTTTATCACGTGATACTTCAGGATGGCGGGTCAAATGCACGTTAGGACGTATTATAATTGTGGATCTCCTAATCATTTCTGTCGTGAATGTTCTCATCGTGGATTTGGTAGATCTCCTGCCACGGGGGCGAATTCCACTCCTCTTGCTAATCAGCCTCTCCTCGCATTACCCCCTCCCTCCAGCTCATCATCTTCTACTGTCGCTAACAACTATTCTAACGGTGCTATACTGCTGCGACTGCTCCGACGTTCCCAGGAGAGTAGTTTAATCAACCGCGGTCGAATTGGTGGAAGGTCAATCAGGAAAAGCTAGATAGATGCTATGCTTGTACTGTTGCTGATGAAAAACGGGACGCGAAGATGAAGCTAGAGGAGGAGAACATCAAGAAATTGAAGGAGGAGGAAGATAGGAAAGAGGAATGGAGGAAGGAGTGTGCGCGCCTCGAAGAGGAGATGGGTGCACGTCTTGACAAGCGCCTGGAGAAGGTCTGTCCCCATTTGATCAACAAGGATGATGGTATGGTTAGCCCAAACGAGGAGTTGGTGGAGCTGAAGAAGGAGAACGAGAAGTTGAGGAGGTTATTACTTGGGGATGATAATCATGCGGATGAGGACAAGATGATGAGGTTGCAACGGGAGATTGCGGGCTTGCGGAGGCAAGTTGCCGAGAAAAAGTTGGCGGAGGATGATATTTTTGCACTACGGCAAGAGATCGACCAACTGCGGGGTACGACCTTGGTAAAGACGAACTTTGAACAAGAGATTGCTGGACTTAAGAAGGAGATTGGATTATTGGGGGAAGTTGGTACTCAGGCTAGGGAGGAAGCTGAGTTGTGGAAGGGGGAAGCTCTTCGACCCAGGAACAAGCGGGGCTGTTATGCGGTCGGCACCCGAGATTGTGCCGTGAGGGGATCGCCTAAACCTAGGTGGATGGATAACCTACGCGACAATGACAAATGGAAACAGGAGTACTTCAGGATGAAGGAGAAACACCGGGTTGCCAGTTTCGAGGCGGAAGTACTAAAAGAGAAGCGTGCTAATGCAAAGGCGGAGGTCATCAAACTTCAGGATGAAATGGGAAAGTTGTCGGTTATCAGTGCTTCTGATCAAACAGAGTGCGGTGACACCAATTTGAAATCTCGACTGGAAGCCGTTGCTAATCGATCGGTTAGGAAAGGCGGGAAAGCTACCTCGATGAGGGAGGGTTGTAGTCAAGCCGACGGAGCTGCCGAAGTCAATGAACGGTTTGCCTTTATCGAAGAGCAGAAGAAGTGCCTTCGTCAGTACAAGAAGTCTACATTAGAAATCCAGTGTAAGGAGACAGGTTTGAAAATGGGCATGGTTAAGCCTATGATTGCCGAATTAGCTGAGTATCATGCGGACAAGGCCTTTGGGAAGCATGCAGACATAGGTAAGACGACTGTTCCTGTGGAGGTCTCGAACGGCTCGGCTACTAAGAATGCGGTCTCTGCGGCTGACGATGATCGTTTTGTTGAGCTCTAGGAAGGTCTCCCGGACGTGACGCATTGTGGAAGTGGGCTTGTTGGTGTAGGGATCGAAGGAGTAGGTGTTTTTCTGTTCCCTGTGGTTCGGACTCGTCTGATGGTTTTTGTGGTCGTTTGATTCGGGGTAAGCCTGCTCATCTGTTTTATTTGCGGGATAAGGAGTTCAGTGCATTCTTTCGTGGCATTGTGATTGATTTGATTTTGGCAGGATGTGTTCCATGGGCAGGAAAAGTGCGGAATTATTTGGATGAATTGATTCGTAGTGGCTTTGACTTTGAAGTATGCGAGGGTCCGTTGGTATATCTCTTGGTTTCCCCTTGGTCCAGACATACGTATGTTGGGTCTGCCTCCCGTTCCCTTCCGGCTCGCTGGAATGAGCATGTCTACCGCTGCCTGGATCACGATGTGATCGATAAAGGTAAGAGGAATGATCGACTGTATTCTTGGTTGCGAAGATGTGGGATTGGACAATATGTGATTGTGGATCTCCTTCAGGCCGAAAGCAGTTTTATTCAGTTAATTAATCCGCACTTAAACTCTCGGGAGTAGGCGTAGAAGATCAGGGGAAAGGGAGAGATGCAGAAGGAAATGGTCGGAAGGACGGACTTTATGTCGTCAACAGATTAACACACATTTGACTTTCCATTCAACAGAGGGTCATGTAACTTCGTCTCTGATTCGTTTGCTGGACGACTGTAAAAAATTGAATCTTAAGTCTGTGGGAGTGTTATGTAGTGGGGGTGAACGTATGCTTGATATTTGGAAGATGGTCAAACGGAAATTTGGGACCTCTGTAGTGAAGTTTAGCAACGAGGCGAATATCCTTAAGAAGAGCAAAGGTTGGTTTCATCCCGGGAAGTTTGTGCTGTTCTCACTCATTATCCCCTTCTGCTCAAAATTTTTTTGAATTGAAACTTGCGTTGTCTTCCCTGCTGTCTCATCCTTCCTCCCGCTTTCGCCTGAATTCCTGGACCTTTGGAGCTTTGGTGCAGAGCTTCCTTGGTATTTGATGTTTTTCGAGTAAGCGATCTCGGACCCTGTTGCATTTATTGATCTCTGGGACGATTCGACGTCGTTTTAATATCAATGTAAGACGGAGGCTGGTCATCCGTATTACGTACGACCATCGTTTAAGTAAGACTGGCATCCGTAACGTCTGCTCTGATGTGATAAAGAGGGCGGACGTTAATGGTTATTAGAAAGGAATGATCGTTCGTAGACTTCGGGTGGTTTGGTTGAAAAATAAGAGTATTGGGGACTTAATCTTCAACTTCAGACTCTATGTTAGAGGTGTTGAATTTGGATGTTCGTGCTCGTTGTTTTCCACTAGCTTCTCTCGTACTGATGGTCACGTTTACTTTTGATTAAGTAAGTGTGATGCCGCCCCCCGGTGGCTACGGAATAACCGCAATGTGCCGGTTCCTAGCAAGCGTGATGCTTCGAAGCGTTTGTTTACTGAGTTGAGGGTTTCCTTGAGTTCTCTGGAATTCGTTGTACCTACCTTCGGATTGGCTGATTTGGCTGGGTGTCTGAATCAGAACTTGACAGTTGTTGATAGTGAGTGTACTGAGGAGGAGGTTTTGAGATGGAAGGAGAGATTCCGCGGGTTGGTTTGTGTTCCCATTGATCACAACCCGGGGGGCACACTCATTTGCTGTCCTATGACTTATCTTATGGGATTTAATAAGTTGTTTATGTGTAATGATGGCTTCGAGGTAATCAACGTGGGGGAATCTGATCTCCTCAAAGACAGGTCGGTGAAATATGCAGAGATGGGACCGGGCTCTCTCGCTCGTTGGGACAAGAATGGATGTTTTGGGAACACGTATGCTATCCCAAAACATAAGGATATCTCCAGATGGAGACCGATATGCCCCTCCTTTTCGGAGTGCAGGGTGCGCGGTTGCAGGAAGGTGTCGAGAAGGATCAGCCAGATGGTTTGGGAACTTCCGAAGAGGTCTAACTTCGATCTCAAAAACACAAATCTTTTGGTAAAGAGCATTGATTTGATCAATAAGGATTTGCACGTGGGAGATGAATTGTTATCCGCGGCCTTCGACGTCAAAGAAATGTTTAGTGATCTACCGCATCAGTCCATTTTAAATGCTCTTCGTTGGATCATCGATTTCTGGCTGAGGCAAGGTGCACAAGGTGTTTTGATCCGAAGTAAGGAAAAGGGGGCAAAAATGCTGAGAGGGAAGAAGCAGGAGGGATGGAGTGTCGTTGACTTCCAGGAGATTCTTAGCTTTGTGGAATTTGACTTGGAACATACTTTTGTACGTGTGGGTGGGAACATCCTAAGACAAACTGCGGGAATACCGATGGGTAAGTCGTCCAGTCCGGCCATCGCTTGTGAGTTGTGCGCCCGCTTTGAGTTTACTTTCCTTTTATCTTTGGGTACTGATCGATCGCTAGTTCATAGAATTTGATTGATAGATGATGTTTCGATCTTCATCAAATTCATGAAAGAAGATTTGCGCAGTGAAAAGAGGGCTTGGAATTTGATGGGAATGTTTGAGCGGTCTTATGATGCTAACCTCTCCTTGGAATGTACTAGTAGGGCCAAACACAGGGAATTTTTGGGCTGTGTGCTAAAAAACTTTGGCATGCCCTTGGGGGTTCGGAGTGTGGCTACTCATAAGAATCAGAATGTGGTAATGAGCAGTAGGATTTGCATCCAGAACTTGCAGGACGCCTGTTCTTCCGCCAACAAACAGCAGAAGATGGCGGTGATTTCTTCCTTTCTGCACAGGGCCAGAAGATGCACGAATATGGCAGGCGCGGAGGGGGCATTTTCGTTTTCTCTGAAGGTGGAGTTGAGGTTACGTGGTTTTTCTGATGACTTTTTTGATAATTCCCTAAAAAACTTCTAAGTGAAGTTTGGGGGGTTATGGGCTGAATGGGTGAGTTGTCCAACTGACCGGAGATATTGACGAGCGTGATTGTATGAACGGGGGCATATTTGGACCTGGGCGATCTTTCTTTGAGGATTTGGACCGCCCGGGTGGATGGCACTCGGGCCTGGTACAGTTTGAGTCTTGGATATTAGCTTGGGCTTACTCGGGCCTGGCAGGTCGCCAGAACCGCCCCTCTTTTTCCGCCTGGTACCGACTGGGTTCTGTTTTTGAAAATTGGGTTTGCCTCTCTTGGCTCTGCTCCGGCTTTCTAGAAGTTACTGGCGCGTTTGTTTAGCTTAGATCAGTGGTCGGTATTAGTGTAGGGTCTGATCGTAGGTCCTATATATTGGCTCATGGCGTTTTGATCTTCCCTCCGCCGTGACAGTTGACCCCTGACGATTCCGGCTCTAGCGACCGGATGAAACATGTAGGGTCGCCGCCAAAAGCTCGGACATGTTTCACACAATTACGGGCAAGACGTCCACTTTCGCTTCGAGTATGAGATTGTTTTGTACGTTGATTTTCTGAAGTCAGTCTCGTTCGGGAGAAGTCACTTGTCGTGTGCCTTACGTGTTGTCTTCGGCTTGTCGTCTTGATTGTCTCGTCGCTCGGGTCGCGTTTCCTTTGACTCTTCGTGATGGTCTGTGTTTTCTTTGCTTGACTGCCACTTGACGGTTTCATGATTCGGGGTTGTATGTTGTCCTTGTCAGTACATCACCAAACTCCTGCTTGCGGAAAAATCTTGCTGCTGAGTTTGAACCTGCAATTTGGTCAGCCACGTGGGAGAGCCCTGTGACCCTGTCTGACGGCAGAAGCCCTGGAATAGGCCCGGGGAAAACACTGTTTTCGAATGTATTATCCTGCGTTCGTGGTCGAATTCACAAGGGGAAATTGCCATCTCGAAAATGTGCCCCGCGCCGGGACGGAGAGAGAGAGAGAGAGAGAGAGAGAGAGAGAGAGAGAGAGAGAGAGAGAGAGAGAGAGAGAGAGAGCTCTGTCTGCGCGGCCACATTATCACACTAGGAAGCTAGCAATTTGTCGAATGTATCGAGCGATGAAAGTGAGATCGTACATTCAAAATCAGAAGTTCAGGCGCCGTCCGGAATATGTCGGCGCGCGGGCGCACACACACACTCACACACGCACACACGCACACACAGACACACACACACACACACACACACACACACTGTGACACACACACACAGAGAAAGAGAGAGAGAGAGAGAGAGAAAGAAAGAATCTCTCTGTCTCTTAGTGTGCATGGGCGCGTTTCCCTGCGAGCATTTTTCGGAATGTATCCGACCATGAATGTGGGACTATACATTGAATTTCGAAAACAGAAGAAGTTCAAGTGGAGCTGGATTGTACTTCTGTTTTTGAATGTAGTACCTCGTCACATGGTCAGATACATTCGAGAAACTGCGTGCGTGAAATGTGCTCGGGCACCCACACACACACAGAGAGAGAGAGAGAGAGAGAGAGAGAGAGAGAGAGAGAGAGAGAGAGAGAGAGAGAGAGAGAGAGAGAGAGAGAGGAGGGGGGGGGAATGCTAGCTGTTTCCTGAATGTATCGGACCATGAAAGGTGGGATTATACATTCGAAAACAGAACTACAGTAGATCTCCGGGTGAACTAGAAGCCTGCGCTCATCGTCCCATACATTTGGGAAACGCTAGCATGAAAATGTGCTCGCGAGGACACACACACACACACACACAGATATATATATATATATATAACAGTTTGTCACAGCCCCTCGTTTGTTGTCCTCTTCTCCCTCTCTGCCTACGGTTTACCGGGCAGTTCTATTTGACGATATATATATATATATATGTATATATATATATATATATATATATATATATAGAGAGAGAGAGAGAGAGAGAGAGAAAGAGAAAGAAAGAGAGAGAGAGAGAGAATTGGACCTATTTCACGGTTTTTTTTTCGCAGTAACTACTTTTTTTTTCTTTTTTTTCTTAAACCTGATAGGCTATGGCTGACGACGAGTATCGTCATGGTGTTTTTGTTGGAGTGTTGAAACGATTGTCGGCGGGTTGGAGTTACAAGTTCACTTTCTAAAAGGCCGGCATGCACCTCCGAATGTGAAAGGGACATAATAATGTCGAGTGTATGAGTGTATCTTTCCGCCTTCTGCGAAAGATGCACCCGCCATTTCACATATGTGACGAGCAGGGACAAAAAGATGCGAGTGTATCTTTCTGCCTTCTGCGGAAAGTTAGCAGGGACAAAAAGATGCGAGTGTATCTTTCTGCCTTCTGCGGAAAGTTGCACCCGCCATATTATTATTATCCTAACCCTTAAGCACGAGCAGCCCGCGGGGGGAGGCCGGTATTCCGCTGCGCGCCGGAATCGGGTTGAAGTTTTGAGGCGGGCCGGCGGATGAAGGCGATCGAGGGCGGGTGAGCGTGCAGACCGGTGCGCATACCGAATTGTTCACAGCGCGCCAGAAAACATGAGAGCGCGCCCACAAGGCCCACCGGCGTTGGGCGTCGATCCGAGCGTATATCTCGA